ATAAAAAACTAACAACCAATAAATTCAATTTAAGAACTATTGTTTGTTGACTTATTGAATGAGACATTATAATTGGCACAACCTTCAAGACAATATAATAAAGATGAAGATCCTCAAGAACGATATATTTTTTCTTAAATAGATGGTGAGATATAATGCATTTAATATCAAGACCTTAATAGAAACTCTTAATATTAGGAGATTTTATTGGAAGTTAGAATGACTCTTGATTGTATTACAAATTTTTTGTTTAAAGGAAGTTACAAAGGCATAAAAAAATAATCAAATAATAAGATAGTATTTTTTGCTTGGAATAAAACATTATCAATGGCTAAAAAGATCTATTAGCCACATTCAAAGAGAACAAAGATAAAAATATATAACAAATTCAATTTGTTGCATCTTGAACATCATCAATATATGATTACCGCTTTTTGTAGAACTCGTCTTTAGAAGTTTGGGTAATGATATAGACATATACATTTATTCTAATAGTTATTACATAATATATATAGATAGAAGTGAATTAAAGTAGATAAATTTTATAATATTTTATAAAAAATCTTTTTAAAAGCTTCATAGATGCAACTTTGACTATTTACTTGTTTTTAATTAATTAATAGATTAGAAACTTAGCCAATAAATTATTCACATATTATACGTATTAATAACTTGTGGTACAAGTTAACTATGTGGCATATATATAAAAGAATATCTTATAAGTTTATATATATATATATATATATATATATATATATATATATACTCCCTAATTAAATACTTTTGTGGCAATATTCTATAAGTAATCCAACATGCCTCCAACTTGAAGAACATGTGTTTCACTTATAAGATAAGTTTTCAGCATGTGCGCTATATGGCCAATTTGTACTACTAGTAATTTACATGTGTAATATGTAGCAAAATTATAAAATAAGTGGTCAACATATATCTACAACATATGGCCAAGTTTTGGCCAAGTTTTCAATTTACTAATCACCTATAAACTCTTATAAAATTAAATTTGAGTTTATAAAATATTATCAATTTTTACCTACTTCTATTTATTTCTATTTAATTCTTCTTATTTAAGTAATTATTAATATTGATATGTCCATGATAAAGAATTTTATATCATTATTATTACTAATATCATTAAAATAATAATTATTACTACTATTATTATTTATTTATATATTTACTATAATTATAATGATATAGTTCTTAAAAATTAAATATATTCTATTTCATTGATTTTATTCTAATGATCTTTAAATAATAAATTATAACCTTTCAAAACTTTATTTTAAGTTAAATAGATAATTTTTCAAATACCAAGAATTATTAGATAACAATTTTTTTTTACCTTTGAGTGATTTATTAAGATTGAATTCTAATCTTTTATTTATTAAAGATCGGGCCATTTGCCATTTTTTAGTTATAATTATGGACTATAGATCTACTACCATAGTCTTCTATATCTTCAAATGCTCTAATTCTACAACTTGGAAGTAATTCAAATATGCCTTGTAGTATTTGATATCTTCTTGGTCTACCTTGGTATTAAATTCTTCATCCATAATTGTATCTAAAAATTGAATGTAATAGTGGACCATAGTCTTATCTTCATATTTATATCATGATTTGTTTTAATAATATTTTAAATCTATATATTCTATATATTTGACTTATTTCATCTATTCTATACATTCTATTTATTCTTATTGACCTATCATATTGCAAGCTTTAAAATTATTTAAGTGTCTAAGGAGAGATAAGAAAGTAAATTATATGTGATAAGTACTTTAATGTAGATGGTTGTAAAAGTGTGGTTTATACTCCTTTAAAGTATAGTAATAATCTCATATTTATTAATCTTAAAAAAAAAAATGATATATTATTGTTGGCATAGTCTTTGGTCCTGACACTTCTCATGGTCTTGAACCTCTAAAACTCAAATCTATAGCCAAATCTGAATTATTTACTTAGATCTAATATAAATCCATATGTATAATCACTTAATCTACAATATCTACAAATTAGATTGATTTGAAGTTGTCCATACAATACAAGATCTAATAAAATATGATATTTTTTCCTCAACTCCAAGGATTTCAATATTGGTTATATAATATTATAAAACAATGTATATTAGCTCTAAACTAGCCTCTCAAGTCCTCTTTTTGCTCCTTCTAGTATTATCTCTAATCTCCTACATCCTCCTACTACTCTCTAACAACAACCATAATACAAATAATACCAACAATATACACTAGAAAGTTAGTAGAAAGAGACTTAAAAGCCCTTACTACCCTCCAAATTCTTGCCACCAACCTGTGCCTTAACTAAATCTTCATCCATTTTGGTCTTAATTTATCATAGTCTTTATCCACCAACTCTTGGTCTTCATCCATTATGGTCTTCATTTACTAACTCCTGGTCTTTATCTATCTTGGTAGTCATTCAACTAACTAAACACAATTATTACAAAAAAAATACGAACTACTCAAGATTTATTCAACAATAATGGGATTTATTAGTCTAAACTATTAGTCCACTAAATACTTAATTAAAAGTTTTTTTTAAAACTTTTAATTTTTTAATTAATTTGCCATTAATCCAATCTCATTGTAAAAATAAACTAATTAAAATTAAAATTTTTAAGCAATAATTTTATCCATGACATCTTTAATAACAAAATTTACAAGAGATCTTAAGCCTTTAAAATGGACATTAGAAATTACTAATAATAAAAAATTAAATATAAATCTTCTAAAATTTGATGTCAAAAATAAATAATTAAATAATATCATTTAATTCCTTATAAAAAATAATTGACCTTTAATATAATATTTAAATATATATATATATATATATATATATATATATATATATATTAAGACTTTGAACATCACTAAGAATTAGTAGCCATAGTAAAAAAAACTTTAAAATATTTTTTACCAAGATTGAATAAGCTATAATAGTACAAAGCTTAAGATAGATTTTAGGATGTAGGACTTAAAAGATCATCCACCAAATATTACTTCCATCTATTCTTGCTTAACTTTAATATTTTTAATATGATAAGAAAACAAAAATTAGGCATAAAAACATAATAGATATATTATGATAAAAAAAAATTCTACAAAAAAATACTAAAGAAAAACTTAAGTTAATACATAAACAGGACTATTTTATAAACTATGGTCAAAATTAGATCTTGAGGCACAATATTGTGTGCCTATGACATATGCTAAGTTTTTTTTTTGTTAATTATTGAGAATTATTAAAATATATATATATATATATATATCTTTATTTGTTTTTAGAAATGTGATCTTGTAATGATCTTATAAGAGCTATGCAAAATTAAGATTAGATTTGATTGATCATATTCTTAAGGTATAAAGTGAGATTTAATCTTTAAAAAATTTTGTGAGTTTTGTAGAAATCTAAGAGTAGAATATTATGGATTTGTGAAAATAATTGTATTAGATATGTATTGTGAATTTTGGCTCTCTTGGATATTTGGATTAAAAGTTGTTGGAATTTAAATAGGTTGAAGTATTGGAAATTTGAAGCTTAAAGGCTAATAAAAGTTTCTAAGATTTGTAACGAATAATGGATTAGATTGTAGCAAAAATTGGTTAACTAGTAGCTTATATAAATATCAACAACTTTTCTACTTTTGAGAGTAAATTAATTTAATAAGAGAAAAATTTTGGAATTAAAAACTTAGTATTAAGTTTGGAGAAAAAAACCATCTAACAGCGCAAGTAGATTATTTTACTTTTCTCTCAATTAGTAGGTAAAATTCTCCTTGAATTTTTTTATATTCATTGTCAATTAAGAGATTTAAAGCTTTAATTTTTTAAAATAAAATAAATAATTAATTAAAAATTCACATGGATTTTAATGTACTATCAGTTCTATTTAGAATTTATTAGGGTTTTTTTAATGATTTCTTTAGGATTTGATTAATATTTGGACAAGATTTGGTTAAGATTTAGATAGGGTTTTTATTTTTTTATTTTTTTTATTTTTTTTATTTTTTTTTATTTTTTTAGGATTTAGGGTTTAAAAAATATTATTAGATTTTTATTTTGTAATATTCTAGAATTATTTTAGAACCTTTTATATGATCCTTAAAAATTCTAAAATATTACTTAGAATATTTAGTAGAAGTTTGCAAATTTAAACACAAATCTTTTCATAAATCATTTCACAAACTATAATCATCAATTTGAAAAGATTGAGGCATTCATTCTATGTTCAATAGAACTTTGTGTTTGAATTATAAACTTAGAAGCACAAAAAGGTTGAATCATCAAGTACAACTAAATTAAAATCCAAATGAATATATTTTTCAAGAGTAAAATTTAGATCTAGTAACAAGCCCAGCATTTATTTGTTTTGGAAAGGTGTCCTGTATTTGTCTATAAAGTTTTCACAAAAAGAGGAACATTTCCATGTGAATTAGTTGTCGAAGTATTCAAATTTACACCAACTTCACATAATTTTCAAGATGTTTATGGCTCTCAAGTTCTGACTTGGTTTAAAGAGACACTAACTAAGCTGTAATATTACATGCCATGTTCATTTAAGGATGTCAAGTAAAATCTGCTGCATCACTGCAGAAGTCTCACTCGGCGTATCACATGGCATCTGATGTAAACGATGTTCATCTACACCATGAAAGGCGTTGGAAGATGAATCCAATCACGCTATGAAGGAAGATTAATGAAATTGCTTCACCAAGTGCCCAGCTTTAAAACCAATGTGAAGAAATGATGCATAGCAGCGACGATAATTGATTTAATTTCAGGATAAAAACCAACGAAGTTATGCCAGGAATTGCGATAATATACCCATATGTGGATGAGAAATGAAAGCATTTAAAAATGGATGGGCTGCCCGAAATATGCTTTTGCGCAACCATGAGAGGCTTTAAGTGCACTTGTTCACCTCGCACTATTATTCATTTCATTAGTACAAGTTGAAAAGAATATCAACCATATCGCCCCATCTTTATTCTGCATAGAACGATGTTGCGTCCATACAAATGGGATGCTAACCAAGGTATATAGATGAGTCCGTAAGCCTTGCACAGAAGATTCAGCCAAAGAAAAAGGACAACCTTGCCGAACGAATCGTGGTTCCAAACATGCAGAAGAAGCATATCTTGGCTGGCATCTTCGATCTGGAATTCAAAGCTTTCGTCCCATACTGGATTCAAGTTGCTGTGTATAACCTGTCGGTCAAGAGTACTTATCCTGTAAACCTCATACTAAGGAACTATTTGAGAACTCTGATACATGCTAACTTCAAATACTGATTCTATCGTGTACATGCATTTTCATTCAAGGTCAACATTAGAGCCAGAATTATCATACCGTGGTTTTCTTTCTCAATCGCTTATGTTTGATCATGCAGAGAACCACATACGGGTCACTCTTGCGGTGGAAATCGGTGGAAAGAAGGTTCTCAGCACGTACCACTGTGACCGTCAATATCCCCACGAATCAGCTCCCACATTCTTCCCTTGCGAGAGAACCTTACAAAAAACCAACACTAGGACTCAGACTTGGTGCAGTAAAGTTTCTGTTCACCACTTCGTCATTTCAGGTGATTGTATTGTCTAAAATAAATTAATCAACTACCTGCTACTCAAGCAACTGATTCTTCTTCTGTTCCATCTCTCTAAATCCAAGGTCGGAAGAGAATCTCTTGCAACAGCTTGAAAGCTCTGAATTTCTTCCCTATCATAACTTCAATAAAGAAACTCAATATTTACCTGCACCTAGATGCGCATCTAGAAGTGAGCATCCCATAATATGATGGCCCCTCATTCCTCCTTGAAAAAGCTTGCGTGTAGGACAATTGGACTCTCGGACAATTTCGTGACTTGAAGTTCAACGTGAGTCTATTTACAATATCTATCCTTGAAAATTTCGTGCTACTACCTAAATTAGCCCTCCTATCAACTTTTCAACTCATTTAGTCCTTTAGAGGCCAAGGAAATCAGAGACAGTCGGAGGATACGTAGGACATAAGTTCACCTGTCCCCTGTACTTGCCGTCATGCAAGCTACCGTGACATTGCGTACCCTCGTAAATTTTTGGCCATCGTTCTGTGATTCGTCCCTCCTAAAGTGCCTAAAAACCATGAGTATGTTAGAACGATTTCGAAAATAGCAGTGAAATTTCTTTAAGATTGTACTCAAGAGGTGGATAAGCACTAAGTAGAGAAGTTATCACCTGCAAGAAAAATTGACAGTAACCCAACACCTGAAATTCTTGAGGGGCCGCTTCATCGAGCAAAACAACCATAACTTTTCCATCTTCCAAGTCATCAAACTCCAGCTCAAAGAATTCATTCCATATCGGATTATTCTCGCGTCTCTGGAACAAACCAGAGATGATGACATCATTCATTCACCTGTTTCAGGGTCTGGACTATCTTGCGCTGGTTAAGTCTTTCTTATCCAGGTGAATGAAACTTTTGTTACAGCAAGAACGTATAATTAAAATGATTTAAGTATTCCTCTCCTAAGGCAAAAAGGAGTTGCAAGTCACAATAATCACACAAATCACAAATCATCAACAGTTTTGTTTCGTCACTTCCGAAGAGACCTCATACAAAAATCATTAACCTGAGGGTTAGGGCGTTACATGTTCCTTACATTAGTCATGCTCTTCCTTATATGCCCTGGAATAGAATGGATGTATACCAAAGCAAAGGGGTCAGGGGGCTTTCCTCTGTCCCTAAGGTCCCTTCCTTGCACCAATCTTAGGTCAAGGATTCCAAGAGGTGGTTTTGCGCCCGCACCTGGTGCTGCAAAAAACGCTGCATTTCTTCGTGGGCACAAAAAGCGCCGGAATCTAGTGGATAAAATTATAAGTTAATATTGAACATGACTAACTGCATTGCGATCCTCTGATGGACATTACAGTAATTAATTAACTTCTTCGATGTGAACAACCCAAAAGGGATAAGAACAGCAATCGTACTTCGTAGAACCGTCAACGGCAGATGTACGAATTATTGGAATGCAAATTCACCTAGGCCAGCTTAAGGATTCTATCACCGCAGATTGAACCATGAGCTGGTATGCACCCACATCCAGAGGATCAAAATGGGTACAAGAAGGTTTGCACAACATATCCACTTCTGAGGACCTGGTTCATAACGAGTTTACAACATCGACCACACGTATGCTTAAGATCTCCATCGGAGGCTATAATATCCGTGGGAGACTTTATCTACGCTCTCCCGGATTCAACAATTCCGAAAAGAAACAAAAATTTCAGAATTCTCAACCAGATCTAACATGGAGCTTTTGCACCATACCGGGAACATTTGAGATATCTCCTCCAACAACCATAACAACAAAATCAAATTTTTTTCTGATCCAAGCATGAGGAAAAATCAGATTTTAGAAAAGACAAACTGAAACATACAAATGCCTGTTCATTCTGAAACATCCTCCATGCCCCTAATATTGTACATAACTCAGCATCCTTACTTATGCCAAAAACAGGTATGATATTACAGATCAGTCTGCATTGTACCCTCGATTGAGCACTAAATCGGTGAACGGGGAAATTGGCAATGCTGAACCTCTGGACTAAGGGAGAGTAGACTGAAAGTCTTATTAGTAATGCTGACATGAGCTTCCGACACACTGAAAGTAAAGTCCATCTAGAACTATAAGCACAAACTGGATGCTGTCAAGAATGTCAGAAAGGATAATAAGCTAAGCAATGCCCGCCCATGCATTCATAGAAATTGAATAATTTCCGCATGCCTTTTTCCTGATTGAGTAAGTGACAGCTCCAAATCCAGGTAGCTCGTCCACCAACGGCTTATAAATAAAACGAAATACACCCTTTATGTGTATATCTTTTACCTTCAACAAACACATGCACACTTGATAAGTGCAAGCATGCATTGCATTTACGTAATTCAAGGTGTGAATCCATGATACAAACTACAAACATGAATGACTCTTGTTAGAATGTCAATTTCAACAGCATAAACTGGTGTAAGAATGGAATGAATTGTACCTGGAGAGGGAAAGATACGCCCATTATTGTTGACACCGATAGTGTGCAACTTGCGTTACCAAACCATCGTGTGTTCACATCAGTTGAAATCTCTTTCGGATCCAAACTCAGAAAAATTGTTAAATTGTGGCAACAAATGATGCTCAAATGACAAAAGCAAAGTCTGGAAAGGATTAACATGATCTAGAGGGTTAAGTAACATCATCTAGAAGAATAAGTGGCATCATCTAGAGGATTGAGTACATGTCCAAAGTTATTGGACATGCAGAAGTTCATGATACGATCCATCATTGTAGCTCAAATCAATTTTGACATGGTTTAAAGGACTCGAGCCAAACCTTCAAATTGAGGTGCAACTGATCCAAGTGTAAGCTCATGGAAAGAGACTAAATTGACGAAACTAGGCTTGTGTGAATCAAGATAGGGCTCCCAGCGCTTCATTAGCATTTTTGAGTAAGCCTGCCTCATTACTTTCGCAGAAACATGCAAATGACCTTCCATACTATACACTGGTTGCACAATATTCAATAGACCAAAGCACGGCCAACATACGTTGGTCGAAGTGCACAGAATTTTACGTATAACTGCACAACTGAAAAATGTGATTCGTTGATATGTTCATACCTCGTTGAAGAAGGGCCATATCTTTTTGATGACAGAATTCAGCCATTCAACCAGCCTAATTGCCAATAAACTGGATTAGCTAAGCTTTTTAGATCACTTCGAGACTCTATATTCACAATAAAAGTAACTATTAGATTCCATGAAGGTGAAGAGCAATTCGATGTTGCAAGTCAAAACGAACTATTTTGTCACCTAAATTCGAGAGGGTCGGAAGCTGAATACATGTGAGGTGGGGTAAACTCAGTTCGTAATTTTGTTTAGAAAGTATTCAAGTTCATGCTTGACACGAAGCTCAAATTACAAACAACCCTAGGATCAATGCTACATTGCACACATGTCAGCAAAAGTGAAGGGACTAATAACCTTGTCGAGGTCACTGAATTCAATCCATCGAGGAAGTACTGATTTTGGAAACAGGGACCAGTAGTCGTCCTTGTTCATTTCAGATATCATGTGAATAAGGCCTGTCTGTCGACATGTAAGGCGTATCAATATGAGGATATGAATCATAGAGGTATCTATATGGGTGTCATACATGAGCTCTCGTCTGCAGTGTTGCAAAGCTAAATGAAAGTTACGAGGAAAACGAAAAGAAGTATTCAAGGAAATTTACGAACAACTTAAGTGTATAAAGTAAGAGCAGTTGTAATGGCTTTTCGTAAGAACGAACTTTCATTCGACGCTTGTGTGACCGGCTGGTTTGGCAATGGCTGAATGCCACCAACCCTAGGCCTGCAATGAACCCAGGAACAACACCTAACAGTAATAGTGCTGATGTACTCCTTAGTAAGAAAGAAGGAACCGTCCCAATAAGGAAGATGTCGACTGCTTCGCGTCCTAATCGCTCGTCGGGTGCAAGATACAGGTGCAGCATCAATCCGAAATAATCCCACATTTGTCGAAAGTATGATAACAAAGCAAGCCATATTGGCTCTACTGCTTGACCCGTAAGATCCATCAGCCATATCACAGAATCACGCAATGTATCTTAAACTTTCCTAATGCTTTCCATGCCGTGGTTATGTGGAAACTTAATTCAGAGAGATAGTCGAAGGTGTAGGAGTGAATATGTGGGTCATCCAGCAACTTCACCTCCAAGCCGTTGCACTCTTCGTATATTCTTCAACTCTTTAACAGAAACTCCATATTAAGTGCTGATGAATTATGACGCGTCGCTGAAGGAGTAAACCTCGGCATTATCATTGTAAACTACTCTCTAGGGCTAATTCTTAGTATCCTTCAGAACAATGCCTCTCCTCTCACATGAGAAAGAAACAGCTGCTGCCCTTGGTAACAGTAAGGACTTGATGCCAATCTAAACATAGCACTAGCCGAGTACCTACAATGAGGTAGTCAACAAGGCAAACAGCCCCATCATCCATTACAGTGGAAACTTCTGCAGCAATGGACACATATCAACTTACCCAATCAAATCCAGAACTATGAACAATTCCAACCTTCATTGCCATTAGAGGTACGAGATAGCAGAAGCACATGAAACGCCCAATTCTTTGCATGATAAGTTGATGGTATACTTAAAATGTATGTCAAATTTAAAGTAAGTTTGACTGATCCACACCAGAAAACTGATTTCGTCATTCAAAACCCATCAATCTGACTGGTTTCAATACACAAACTCAAAAATAGAAAAGCGAGTAAGTTCATTAGCAAAAATGATCATATGTACAAAGGAAAGTCGCCTTTAACTCCTGCCCCTCACATTCTTAAAAACCTAGTCATGCCTTGCCACAGGACTAGAAGTGCCGAGGAGACTTCACACTCTTGTATTGTTCGAAACCAAGTTGCGCAAAACTGTTGTCCAACGTCAACGTCCTTCACTTATCCTTCTCAGAAAATCAACCGAATAAGCACACCTGGGTGCAACACGAAACCTAGTCACCTCACAATTCTTAAGTGTACAACTCAGCCTAAGCATCGAAAAGACATCCCCCAGCACGACACACTGCGGAACTCTCAGATTACACACAACAGAAGAAGGTCGAAACACCGCCAGTTCATGAAATATGACAAGTAAGACCCCATGGATTCAAAATCATCTGCAAAATGCTTAACAAACGCAACGGTGGGACCACCAACTCATCCATTGGGTGAGACAGTTGGAACAAACGGTGCCAATGGGCGTGGTATCCGACGACCGCGGGCACCCTGCGCTCGCTGGTCTTACGGGTAAGCACACAAGCAGGGCGGGGCCTTCGACAATCAATAATTTTCTGCCATCGTCCCGTCCCCTGTTTGATTCTTCGCCGATTAAGTTCTCCCGACAGCGGGAGCGTGGATCATTCCTTACGTTGCTGTGCTTCACTTCCCCGTGAGTGGCTTCCCATCGAACCATCCCGATTTGGTTGATTGGATTGTCCTTCCGCTGAGAGCAGTGGTTGCCGGTTTGGTTCGGATTCCGAGGTAAGAGGTGCGAGTTTCGGTGGTTGGGTCTGTTTGCGGGGATCGTCGGCAGCGATATCCGGAGTCTGTGTAATTGCGGAATATTGAAGGTATTTTCTTTTCTCAGCAAGACAGTTAGGTTTGGTCTTGGTTTGGTTTCCGTTGGTTGACTTTCTATGGAAGATTAGGGTGATGAGGGTGGGCGTTTTTATTTATTTATTTATTTATTTTTCGCCTTTCTTCTGGATGTCATGATTGTTGTTGAGCTTTATATGTGCGTGTAGTAGTTCTGCGATAGAGTGTATGCATGTTATTCGTGAGGTGGCGGAGAAGAGGCAGGATGGGTGAGTTTGGTAGTGTAAGGTTTGTGGATGTGAGTGGGGGACTGAAGTAAGTTTGAATTCAGGGCGCGTGTGAAGAGCGTGCAATCATGAAGCGCGGAGACCATTTGCAGCAAGCGGCTGCTCCGCTGAACAACTACCAATTCGACTTCGGGCTGCCGGGTATGCCGAAGCCGAGCGGGAGTTTGAAAGAGCAGAGGGCGCAATCGCAGAGTTCCACAGCGCAAGCATCCGCAGGTTGGTCCGCCTCTCCGGGAGGGTGGTCGAGCGGGTCTGGGTCAGACGCGGCGTTCAATTTTCTTGGGGGAGGTAGTGTGGGAGGAGGTAGTGTTGGAGGAGGTCCTAAGCGTGACGGAGGTGGTGACGGTATTTCTCAGAAGGGGTATGGTGTGTCGAGTGCATACGATTTTTTTGGGCAGTCTAGTCCGGCGGGAAGAGGAGGTGGTGGTGGGTATTACGGGAGTGCGAGGCCACAAGTCGGCAATGTGAGCGGGGTGAGTAGCTTCACGAACCAAACAGGGTCGCAGGGGATTAAGGGAGGAGCGGATGTGTCCGGGAACGGTTGGGGCCTATCCACGGCGTCCAAACTAGCGTCCGCAGGAATTCCTGGGTACAAACCGTCAAGTAAAGAGGATGTGTTTGGGGACTTGCTGGGTGGTGCGTTAGGTGGCAAGTCGTCGGCTCCGTTGAAGCAGCAGCAGCAGCAGCAGAATGTGGCAGCAGGGAATGGAGGCTCCGGAATGGGCAGGATGGGGGCAGCAATGCCAGAGGTGACGATGGCTCCGGCGCGAGAGACGAAGGGTGCGGCAGCGAAACCGGCACCATTCTCATACACTGCGATGTTCAAGAGCCCGTCATCGTTCAAGCCGAAGGCTGCGGCGACGCCAATGGCAGAGGTTCGGGGCGGTGATCCGTTTGCGGACATATCGTTCTCGAAGCCTGAGGGAATCGCTCCATCGAGCGACCCGTTTGCTTTTATGGGCAAGCAGCAAAGCGCCCCTCCTCGTGGGGCTCATTCTGCGAGCGTCCCCAGGTCGGATCCATTCGGCAGCTCTGGAGGAGGGGAGCAGTTGGATTCACTTTTCGGGATCGGCTCGTCGAGTTCCGCGTCGAAGGCAGCTCAGGCGCACGATGGGTGGGGCGATGTGTTCGGAGCGGCCGCAGAGGTGCAGTCGTTTGAGAACGAGGCCGCGACAACAGAGCTGGAAGGCGTGGGTGGTGCACCAGTAGGGGTGACGGGCAATTCGGCCTTGGAGAAGGGCACCTGTTTCTACAAGGAAGGGCAGTTCCCGAACGCTATCAAGTGGTTTTCATGGGCGGTGGAGGTGCTGGAGAAGGAGAAGGGAAGCAAGGGTGCCATCGTAGAAGTGCTAACGAAGAGGATGTCGTGCTTCAAGGAAATTGGCGAAATGAAGAAGGCAATAGCAGACTGCACAAAGGTATGTGTGGGCTTGGGGAGGTGAAGGACATGGGTGTGTTTGTGTACGTAACAGGGAAGGGGTGCATTTGACGAGTTCACATAACGAGTAGTGTTCGGGATTGTGGTTGCAAGTCGGTCGTAGAACAGGGTCATGAAATTTGTGCACTAAACAGGAAGCATGGGTGGTTGTTATAGGTGGAGCTGAGTGATTGGCAGGAGTGGAAGAGTGATGTTTGTGATCTAAGCATTAGGTGTGTGACAGAACATTATTGTTGTATGCATGTGTTCGTGTGTGTTCGATCGACTGACGCTGTTTTGCGAGAACGATGTGTTGTTCAGGCATGTGAATTGGAACCAGGCAGTGTGGAGCTGCTGATGCAGCGAGCGCACTTGTACGAGAGCTGTGAGAAGATCAAGCTGGGGATCGCGGACTTGCGGGAAGTAATGAAGATACAACCCGGGCATCGCGTGGCGTCTCAGACGCTTGCAAGGCTGCAGAAGATGCTTTGATGAGGTTGGCACCGCTCATGTGGAGACTTCGTACATCTGCGAACAGAACTTCTGGAGCTACCACCCCTCATCGAGCTCCGCGACTCACAGCTGGGGTTAGAAGAAAATCGGCAGCACATTGTGTTGTGAATTCAGATTACCGCCGCGGGTATGAGTAAGTGTAAGTGTAAGTGTAAGTGAATAGATACGCTGATGGCGCACTTGTATGAGAGCTGGTTTTAGGGGTAGGAAAGCGGGGCGAATGGAATCATGGAGACTGTAAAGTAGTACTGGTTGTTTGTGCTTGTCGCGAACATGTCAGATGTGGGATATTGGGTGTGGTTGGCGCAACTTGTAAAGCCATGAATGCATTTTTTGGTACCAGTGTGTTGTGTCTGGTCTTGAGTAGCGTTGAGTTGGTATTGGAAGGAGATAACTGAATACTATTTCCTTCAGCTTTTCTTTTGCGTTGCTTGTGCACTTGCTATGGAACTGACAACAGCCTTATTTGACTTGTGGAAAGTCTGAGAAGAAGTACCCAAATCTGTGTAAATTAGGTACTGTGCGAACTCTATGAAAAGGATGACGGATATTGCATTAACCTTCAATGTGAATGAAATTGTTGAAGAGTTTTCTTTGAATTAATCTTATCCTAAATATGAGGTGCACCAGAAGTCAAATGGAGAGACTTTTAAGCTTGTGTACGAATTAACAGACGTGGTCACTAAAGTTTTATTTTTCCTTGAAGGCTTTGATGCTGTCAGCTTTGATCTACCTGATGCAGGCTTGGATATATGTTATTTTTTCAAACGTTCTTCACCTAATATGACGTGACTTTTGTAGGCTGTCATGTGCGAAGAGCTTTCAGTAGGTCATGTGTTGTGTATCTACCACACTATCAATAGGTTGTGAGGAGGTTGCAGACCTGCAAAAGTTTCAAGATGGAGATTGTTCCGGAGTTTATTTAAATGGAACTTGTGTAAGTTGAAATTGAGATGCGAAGGAACTGTGTCATTTATTCTTTACATTCTAACTTCATGACTTAAAACCACGCTCTTGAAATACAGTAAAACTCCTTAATTTTTATAGAATCCATATTTGGAACAAATTAGTTCATTTAGTTTTTGATGATTAGTACAATAGAATATGGGTTTCTTTGATTACATCATGAAGAAAAGATAATATATGTTTATATATATATATATATATATAGGGAAATGTTCAAAATGACCCATCCATTTACTAAATGGGCCCACCTTATTGTGGGAATAAGATGGAATGAGGGGGGTTGGGATGAGAGTTGGAACTAGGCTTGGGACAAAGAAGATTAGGAACCAAGGGGATGAGGGTTGGGAACGAGGGGGTTGAGATGAGAGCCATGATATTTTTTGGAGATGATTCATTTTCTAATGATGGTTATGATAGGATGGTTTGATTTAGTAAATGGGTGGGATATTTAAACATTCTCATGTATATATATGTCTATATATATATATATATATATATGTCTATATATATATATATTTTTTAAAAAAAATTATATGATATATACATTTATACACAAACATACATGTGTGTGTGATTAATTACAAGTGTAAATATAAAAAATTCAACATACACTTGCATATGAAACTATCAAGAGTTTGTTTTTTTTTTAACTGTAATTTTGAAATATCTTCTTATGAACTTCCTAGAACATGTTGATCTTACAAAAAGCATTATTTGTTAGATATATGATACACATATTCTCATGTACAAGCATTTGGCTAAATACATAAGTGTATTCGTGAACCACATATTGAAGAATTAATGAAGTAGAAATAAAAGATATCCATAATAAAAACATGTTTGCAAGTTTGTTAATTAGGTCACTTATTTAAAAACACATAATGTTTAAAATTTTTGAATACAATACCAAAAAACAATAGAACATGCTATCACTGTCAGACTTGATTGTTTTGTAAAACACAATATTTTAATGAAAAAATAATACTTGTTCACTTAAAAGTCATAATTTGAACACAATTTTAAAATCCAAAGGAACTCAATTATACATGATTGCGGATAGCAAAAATATTCAAACCGGAAATAATGCATTGACGGCTGTGGGATTTGAACCCACGCCCTTTCGGACTGGAGCCTAAATCCAGCGCCTTAGACCACTCGGCCAAACCGTCCCAACTGAAAGAAACAGATGCTTAGGATGAGTTCTTACCGTTATATAATGTAAGATCAGTTCACCTTTCTTGTCGTAGCATGCGAGCAGGATAATTAGTCGATGCAATGTAGACGATCTTAGCACATGACAACACATTTGAGACTAAGGACTGGCACGCGCAAACGTGTGTTTCGATAAATTACTTAAAAACATTAATAACACATAGACCACATTTTGACGTAGACGAATCCCAAAAAAGTAATGCTCTTCGAAACGCCACTGGGACCAAGATATCTGTGATCACAGAAGCTGCATGACCAACGTCTGTTTCTCTACAATTTGACGTAGTTTTGAAGAAAAATGCATCGAGGGGGTGATTCTAAGCTTAGACCATGGCATTTGAGTTACAACAAGAATTACATGTTAGAGACATGAGCTAGAAGGGCTATGGAGAAACGAAACCCTAACTTGTAGATGGGTATCTCGCATGTTACACCTCCCTGAAGACCACTTGCCTAGATTCTCTCCAACAAATTCGAAGATTACAGCGATCGGTCACTTACCAGTGTACGAAGGGTCAGAATCTAGTGTGTTTGCACAGTGTGTCTCCCGCTCTTCTAATTGGAATTAGCACGAGATGTCCGCCGTCCAGGGAAAATCCAAAACCCAGTTCTTCCACAATCTCATGAAGGCAAAGCGTCCATGCCTTCCAATAATTGACCAGGAGAAAACGCTCATCGAGACAAGGAAAACTTCCCAAACCATGTGATATGACAACAAGGAAATCGCTAATTATCCACAATGACACCCTTGTAGACAGACAGCGAGCAATGCAACCACGACAAGGCTTCCGATTTGATTTCATGCGCGTCAATAACAAACAGATCCATGCTACTTTGCTTCTGATACAATTGACCTTAAACCTCAATTGTCCCGTCGATAACAAGCGCTAGAGACTAATAAGAACTATATACCATAATCTGCACCACGCAGCATGTAGGGTTTCGTCTCCTCCAACCCCATATGCGAACCTCGAAAGCATTTCACGAATCCGACAACATAGACTAATGATGCACGATGTGTAGTACTCTTCCAACTGCCGCAATTCCTTATCGCTTGGATGACGCTTTGGCGCCCTTCTTCCCCTCGGCCTGTCGTCTCGCCAGTAGCCGTTGGCTCGGCTTCTCGGCATACATGGGTTCCAACCACGTCAGCGGATGACGGTTGAAGAAAGGCCAGTCGGGAACTGTCACGATAAACGTCACTACCACTCCAGCAAGATAAATATAAAGCATGAAAGTGAAGGAGCCGAGGACATAGCCCACAATGAAAGCCACCACCGCAGATCCCAGAAGAAAGTACTGCATCAGTTGCTCAGCTAACCTCTGCCCCTCCCAATCCATGGCTTCGACAATCCCTTCCCACCCTCAAACACGATGCTCACTCTGTACACCAGCGAAAACTTGACAATCGCGATTGTGGGTACACGAGACCCCACGCCTGCGAGAAATTCGTCTTCGTCCTCGCGATGCTTTGTGCGCGTCTCAGCAGCTCCACCATACAGTAAGCGGCATCTCTTTCAAGGTTGCTCCTGATTAAACAAAAATGGAGGGCAATGACTCACACCGACGTCAATGTGTGCTGCTAACGCCGATAGCTGGCAAAAGACGTGCAACGTGAGATCAAAATCTCGCATTATGACCGGAGGCATTCTGGCTTATGGAATTGTCCCGATGTCGCGAGATTTTAGGGTTTGGGTGTCGGTTTCCTCAGCAGGGTGTTTAAAATAGTTTCATCCGTTGTGCATATTTTTGTGGATGCTACTTGTTGAGAAGTTTGAAGAGTGTAAATTATGGTAAACCGCATGTCGAGGTAAGTGTTTACTGTCATGCAGTTCCATGAGCATGTGCATACATATAATAGTACCGGTGTAGCCTAAAATGAAGATTGTTATCTTACATAAACTTTAAAATTAAATATTACAATAATTTAAAATATATATGTTTTTTAAATTATAACTTACAACATTTATTTTCTTTTCCCATGTAATTATTTTGTACATTTATTATTGTATATATATATATATATATATTATATAATAAAATATGATATATGTTGTAATTGATTTCGTTTGGTTTGGAGTAATTTGAATTGATAGTTGCAATCTTTTAAATCATCTCAAGAAGTCTTTTAAAAATATGAAGAATTTGAAAATAATCAAAAATTTGATCAATTAATATATAATAGATAGAATAGAAAGTAGTTAAGATTCTAATATACTACAAGTATAGCAAGCAAAAGATTTTTTTTTTTTAAATTCTTTTAACTTTCTCTACTACATAAATGTTTTTAAGATAAAGCAAATCAATTCAAATGTTAGATATTACCTTGCTATAAATAATTTTAGTGCATACATCTTTGTACAAATATTCAAACTTTAGTTGTACTAATGAAACTTGATATTATTGAATCTTAACATTGTAAAAGTCACTATTAAAGATGGTTTAAAGAATATGTTATTATGATGAGTTTGTTAATACTAAAGAATTTTTTGGCTGAATATAAATATATAAATCCTTAATAGATATCAAAAGACATTGTAGGTTATAAAAAAATTCAAAGAATATTTGATACTTTGAAAGTTTTAAAAAATACTACATTAAAGGTCTTTATAGAACTCATTGCTTTAAGAAGTAATATCATAGATGTGATAGAAATAGTACTAATTTTATAGCATCCATGCAAAAATATAAAGACATTAACTTATATAATGTATCATTAAATTTTAAAGTAAATAAGATTTATCTTATATTAGGAACAAGTCTAATTTTATTAATTTGTAAAAAACAAAGGATCTAAAATACGAGTTTTCCTACATAGTAGGTCCAATATGTGGGCTTGTCTTTTTAATATTTTTTTAAAGATAAGACAAGAATTATAATTAGAAGAAGAAATTTTATGTGGTTCTCTTCTCTTCTATCACATCAAGTTTAATATGCTACCAAAGTTCCATCTAATAAGTTTTATACTAAATTTGAAATAAGTACACTATAAATAGGATAATGTTTTGTTATTGATTTCAAAGGCTAGGAATTCAAGTAGTACCTTGCTCTATCCTTACATGAATCCATCTATATGTGATACAATTTTAGTTTTGCCCAGCTCACTATCTATATGCAACATACTGTGCAAAATCAAGATTGGTATAAATAATGTCAAATCATGATGCAAAGTCATTAGCTAGAAAATTTGATACTAGTTCTTAAGGAATTTGGATACTTTAACTTGGCCTTAAGTTCAATTCCAACTTCTTACACTATAAACTAATTATGTTGACTTTATGTTTTGATCCTTCTTTTATACTAGCACTTGTATTTTAACTCTCTCGAAATCCATTCTCTTGATGCTAGCATTTTGTCTTGGCTTTCACTAAGGCTCTCTTATCTTCTGCTCCCCTCAATTCCAAACTCTAAATTTCTAGGGAGGGGAGCCAAGAATAAATATATATATATATATATACATACATAACTATTAAAGCTGTTCATTATGTATTTATGGATGAAGAAAAAAATTACCATGGTACAAGTTCGGTACCAATTCCTTTGCAGTCTTTTGTTGTCAGCCATACTTTAATTTAAGTTCAATTATTTAAAATTAATCTAATATAAATTTAGGATACAAATGAATAAATAATCAATATTAAAACATTTTATCTTCACAAAATGAAATTTAAGTGAAACAGGTGAAATCCTCAATATGAATGTGACACTCCTATCCACTTCTCAAAATTAAAACCATCACCTTATCAACAATGCTCGTACTTGTGGTAGGCCTGAATTCTCCTTTTGATAATTGCCTCAGCAACTAGTCTTAAACAATATTTTTTTCATGGCAACTAAACTCAGCAAACCTGTACAACCAACATTAGTGTCTGGGGATGAGCTTGACGTTACCCAAAAATCACGTGTATGAAGACACAGTAATAAGGAACAGGAACAGTAAATTATAAACTGTAAATTAACATCATCATAAACTGTAAATTAGCGAAAATAATGTAGAAGGCCATGACATTGGTTTCCCTTTGGACCAAGAGCTGGACCTACTGGTGGCCCGGGGGTAGAGTTTCCAGCCTCATTGGCTTGGCTTCAAGGCCAAAACCCTGCAATCCTCCTTATCCACCCAACTCCATCAAATTCAACCATACTAATCCAATAAAAATAGTTTGATTCCCAAAAATCATTCACGAATCAAAAGTTTTTGTTTTGTGGTCATGAACAAAAATAGTATCTGTATTTACTCCAGTCTTACTGCCACCTTCAACTTGCTCCACACACCTCACAACCGCCCTATACTTTTCTTGGCCTCCCTGGCTAGATTTGTGTAGTGCTGCAGCAACCATCTGTAAGGACTTGCATATAGAGAGGCTCTTTGTCGGAGACTGGCCTTTTATTCTTTGCTGGATACTGCTACTACTTGCAGCATTGAAACTAGTAACTGTATTCCTCTAATTATGAAGGTGATAGTGTGACTGGCGACGGAGTTAAGCAAGAATCTAGGATTTCACGTATTACATCGTTTGCAATAATTCAAATGAACATTATTTCGCATGAAAAGTTATAGGATGTGAATGATACACTCAAAAATGCAAATCTTCTCTAGAGGATTTAACAAGAATGCGAAACATCACAACACTATTAAGGTGTTGGAAATGAGAAATCGAGCACTGGCAATGCATTAATCGTCAATTACACTTACACAACCATGTTGGGCTTAATTATTCCATCACGCACCTATTCCCCAGATAGAACTACACATTACATGTAACATGTCCTCAAATTACACCAAAATTTATAGCTGAGCTACCAGATCCCTACCAGATCCGATTGTTTCACACATTGCTCCACAACTGAAACCAACAAGTTACCCCTACACGTACTACGTTGGGTATACTTTGTACCATGATTTTTACTCGTTCAGTTCTCACAAATCCCCATGATATAAGGATGCTCGAACAACGCTTAGCATTGCACCCTTGTGAACACATCTTTCGCAAGGTATCATAAAATATGCTTCAAACTCGAACCTCATTGTCACCGGTGCCATTGATGCTGTGTACAACAGAAGTCATAGCAGCCCTGCCCACAGACTGAATAGCCTTACATTTTGACAGAATTACCTTGTTCCAAAATTATGCGCTAGAACGGTATGCAATTGGAAATGCTTGGCCTGACAACCATAGCCGGGTGAGACATTATCCGCTCTCCCTTCTTGTGGTTGCAGCACCAGACTGCCGCTCCGATTGGCCATTCAATCACAGCTGCCACGACGAAGCCAACGAACCCCAACGTAGGTCCAATAATTTTGCATCGACATGGATTGTCAGTATTCCCGCACTCGATACAGAGGGGAATCGGGATACAAGCCATCTCTTACGAGTCTTTTGCTTAAAGCTGTAGGAACAACGAGTAACAAATTATCCACCGACACACAGCCTACGCAGGCTCAAACCTGGGATGTCACACAGGTGATAATGAGTTCAAAACTTCGTGAACAACTCCATGACGACTCAAAGCGTTCAATCCGAGTGACGAAGGGCCAAGCATTCTAGAACAGGAAAATCTAGAGCGAATCTAAACAAGATTGAAATGCACATTATCCATGAACAGCTTAAAGCAAAACCCACGCTCCACGCACAAAAGCAAGCACCAGAAAACAAACGTCACAAAGCTGCTTACTCGCTTCAATCAGACACCAGATACTTTAACACAAGCTAGATTAGAATAAAAAACAAGAAATTAATTTAGAATTCCCTGGAGATTATAAAGAAGTACATCAAACCCTCACTCCAACTTTCAATCGAGCCACCAAAAATCAGGTTATGAACAAGAACGCCGAAACTCATGCACTGCCGAGAGTTCCTCTGCATAATCTGCCGAGCTACATTTCTCACTCTAAGACATCTGCAGAAAATTTCCTATGAAGCTCTAACAACTGCAACAACCGAGACAAAACAAACATAAATTGAGAAAGAAAAATATATATACATTATTTATCATAAGCCCTCGTCTCCCCGAATTCTAAATCCACTAACCTCACCACTGGAGTAGTGCGTTGCGATTCTGGAGATCTCCGATGAAGAGAAGCTTCACGATGTAGCGATGGAACCGAAGCCTCAAATCTCCCGCCCAAGCTCAAAAAAAACAAGTCGAGGGCCGGAGGGATGTCTCGTCGATGGCACCGGCAAGCGCGCGACGCCGGCCACGGTCATTGCCAAGTCACCGATAACGTTGCGCCTGTGCGTGATGACAAGTGGCAACTTGACACGGTCACCGAAGCCCATTTTCCAGCAGTGCGTTATTGGAGGACCTTGAAGCGGTCGATGGAGGGCTGGACACGTGGAGATCTCAGGAGAAAGCTGTCCTGTGACCAACCCTTCAACTGGTGAACGGGTCACCTATGGCCGTGAGCTGGGTTCCTGATTCCGCTCTTCCTCAAATAACAATACTCAAATTAGGTCATTCATTAATCAGTCAATTTAATTACCAATCATGAATTTCATTAAGATATATCTTTGAAACATTTAACTTTGAATAGTGTTTTTTAAAACACAAATGTACCTAATCTTAATACACTTTTCAATTTGTGGCAATATTATGTTTATTGTTTTTTTGGATATACATGTACAGTGGTGTGTGGTTAATAGAAATCCCTTGAGACAAGCAAAAGCTTTTTTCTTACAAAAAACATTGCAATATTCTCCATGCCTTTAGAAGTATGTTATCATTAAAGCAACATTTTAATATATTATCAATAAATTCATTAAACAGTATATAAAAAGTGTAGTTAATAAAGTGTTCTCTTCAATCCTAGTCGCTAATCCTTCATTGTGTTTTGTATGTGTGTGTTATGTCCAAAAGAGTGATAGTAGGTACAAAACCCAAACCTTAACTATGAGTGCTAATATCTTTCACATAAAAATTCCAAATCATCCAAAATTTATACAAAAACCATAGCCAAAAACCTAAACTCTTTGATTTTAGCCTCTTAAGTTCCAATTGGCTTAAAAGAGTAATCCTAATTCCTAATAAGGCCTCGAGTAACCTCCTTAAAGCCCATTGGGCATGCCTTTTGGCCAATAGCAATAGAGATTTTTATCATCCATCTCCATTCATACATATAGATGCCCTAATTACTCTTTTTGCTACCAAAATTCCTCTCTAATACTTTTTTTTATAAGATTTACATAATATATGCCATAAACACTAAATAAAAAAAATAAAATAAGATTTTAAGAGTCATCAATGTCTAATAAAAGTAGCTCTAAATATATAAAAACTATTATCAATATAAAATCAACCTGTCACGGCCATAATCATGTAAGCTAATAATTACATATAGAAATAGGTAGAAGTAAGTAAAAGTAGATAAAAGTAAGTTAATTATATAATATTTAATATAGAAGCTTCCTAGAAACTTCCTAGACGCTGCTTTGACTTCATAGGTGTCTTTAATTGACTTTTTGGATTAGAAACGTGGTCAACAAGTTGGCCATGTGCCACACATGTTGTTAGCTTGAAGATCAAACTAACTATGTAGCCCACACGTAGAAAAACTTGCCTTGTAAGTCAAGGCATGTGTTCTACAAAGTCAACACATATTGGAGGTCCTATAGAACGTCGCCACGTAGCCCCTAGTTAGATAGTATATATAGAGACAAGAGTGAAGGCTTCTTCACTCTTGTCAACTCCTTTCTTGCTTCTAGTCCAGGTTCAAGAGTCTTTAGTTTCTTGTCTTGTGGCAATAGCCATTCCAGTTTCCTTTTAATATACATACTTGTTTATATTTTGACTTATTATATCGAGATAGCCTTTTGGTGTATATTTTTCCTCATCGAGTCTTTGTCCTTGACAGATTGACAAGAGTACACTTACAATATCAAAGCTTTGTTTTTTCTTGAGTAAGAGTGGATTACCCCTTTCTCTTGACAAGACATAAGCGTATTAGAAGTTTGCGGATTACCCACTTCTAAACTGATATTGTTCTTAGTATCTTCTTTGTTATCAAGTCTTTCTTTTCTTTTGTCTTGAGCAATATCAAACAAATTTTTCTTCTTAGTGTCATTATGGCAGAACTTGTTGAAATGAAGAGTGCAATGGCACAAATGCAAGAGCAAATGAGGGAGTTAATGCTTGCGATGCATCAACTCAATTCACCAACACATGAAAGAACAAGAATAGCAAAAAGTGGAGATATAGAGATGATCGGAGCTGCTTCAACATCTACAACAAATCACATTCCTTCTCCAATTGTACAACACCCTATAAGCACTAGAGAACCAAGAATTACCTTACCTGAGAAATTTGATGGTACGAGATCAAAGTTTCGAGGGTTCATCAATCAAGTACAATTGGCAATTGAACTTCAACCGCAAAGCTATCCAACTCCAGGATCACAAGTCAAGTTTATTGGCACTCTACTTTCTGGTTCTGCATTATCGTGGTTTTCGTCTTTTCTTGAACAACGAAATCCAATATTGGATAATTTGGAAGCTTTTTTGGCAGAGTTTCGATCTATGTATGGTGAACACGATGTAACTCGTGTTGCAACAAATAAGATCCGAATTCTGCGACAAGGAAATCGCTCAGTAACAGTATATGCTTCACAATTTTGATAACTTGCAATTGACATCAAGTGGGATGATGCTGCACTCATCAGTCAATTTTTTTATGGATTGCAATACGAAGTAAAGAAATTGATGCTCAACTTACCTGATCCTCAAACTTTGAGTCAAGCAATCAATTTTGCGATAAAATGTGATAATCGACTTTTTGAATTTCGATCTGAGAATCATTCACGGGAACCTCAACGTTATTACTCAATGGCAACATCAACATCTTTGCCAAACGTACATTCGGAAGTAGAAGACATGCAAATTGACGCGGTACGTTTTAAACCCCTAACTGAGCAAGAAAAGATTCGTCGTCGTCAAGAAGGATTATGTTTATATTGCGGAGAACCTAAGCACACTGCTCAACATTGTCCAAAGAAACAACGCAACTATAAAATGAGGGATACGACGGTCAAAGAAGACAACATGTCGGAAAATGGATTCGTCCAGCTACAATAGGGACCGTGCAGCTGGAACCTTGTACAATTCCTAATGAAGGTCCTATCCTCTCCTCAGAACCCTCTCCTTGTTTTATAATAGACTTATATTTAGGACCTAAGAATTACAAAGCCTCTGCTTTATTAGATTCGGGAGCCTCAGCATGTTTTTTAGATGAACAATTTGTTAAAAGTCGTAAAATATCCTTTGTACAGAAACCTAAACCAGTACATGTAGAAGTCATAGATGGTCGTCCCTTGTCTTCTGGAGATGTCACTCATGAAACTCATCCTATAAAAGTAACAATAGACGGTCATGATAGCTACATAGCTTTTAACATAATTAAATCCCCGTCCAATCCAGTTATTTTAGGTTTATCCTGGCTAGAAAAATATAACCCTCGAATAGATTGGAATTCGCGTAAACTTGACTTTTCCAAAAGCGTTATTAATAGTTCTACGAACCAAGTAAAAAATTATAAGTCTAGTATAGTAAAACCCGTACTGATAGGTGCAAAAGCATTTATACACGCAGCAAAAGAAGGATCAACTTTTGCTATTTATGCTGCACCTATTTCTGAAAACGTAAAGACTTCAAGTGGCATTCCAAGTCAATATCAGGAGTATCAAGACGTTTTTGAGAAAAAGAATGCAGATATTCTTCCTGAGCATCGCCCATATGATTGTTCAATCGACCTCAAGGAAGGAACTCAGCCACCATTTGGACCAATTTACAGTTTATCGCAAGATGAGTTGGCTGAACTCAAGACATATATTGACGAGAATTTAGCGAAGAATTTCATACGCCATTCAAAATCTCCAGCAGGAGCTCCAATTCTATTCGTAAAGAAAAAAGATGGATCTTTACGAATGTGTGTTGATTATCGAGGACTCAACAAGATCACAATCAAGAACAGGTATCCATTACCTTTGATATCAGGACTCCTTGACCAGTTGAATCAAGCTAAGATCTATACAAAAATAGATCTAAGAGGAGCATATAATCTAGTACGGATCAAAGAAGGAGATGAATAGAAGACTGCGTTTCGAACCAGGTATGGACATTTCGAATATAATGTCATGCCCTTTGGACTCACGAATGCACCAGCTGCTTTTCAACATCTCATGAATGATATATTTCGTGAATTCTTAGACAATTTTGTCGTCTGCTATCTAGACGATATCCTGATCTATTCCAAGAACGCCGAAGAACATGAAATACATGTTCGTCAAGTATTACAAAAACTTAGAGATGCAGGATTGTACGCCAAGATGGAAAAGTGTGTATTTCATACTACTCAAGTTGACTTTTTAGGATACATCATTTCAAATGATGGTCTCATGATGGATTCTAAGAAAGTCCAAACAATCGTGGATTGGAAGATTCCAAGGACGGTAAGAGATGTCCAATGTTTCTTGGGATTTGCCAATTACTATCGGATCTTCATCAAAGATTTCTCACGAGTTGCAGCTCCACTTACACGCTTGACTAGTAAAGATAAATTTCAATGGAATCAAGAAGCGGAAGCAGCATTTGAAGCCTTGAAGACATCGTTTGTCTCCGCACCAGTCTTATATCGTGTTGACTTTTCCAAGGCATTTTTTATGGAAATAAATGCATCAGATTTTGCCTTGGGTGCAGTTTTATCACAAATGGGAACAGATGACAAACTCCATCCGATAGCTTTTCATTCAAGAAAATTCTCAGCAGCCGAGATCAATTATGAGATCCACGATAAAGAACTTCTTGCGATCGTGGATTCCTTTCAAGAATGGCGTCATTATCTAGAAGGCGCTTCTAGTCCAGTCACTGTGTATACAGATCACAAGAACCTCGAGTATTTCATGTCAGCACGCGTGTTGAATCGTCGTCAAGCTCGTTGGAGTATGTCTTTGTTAAGATTCGACTTCATTATCACTTATCGGCCAGGAAAACAACAAGGTTTATCCGATGCCCTATCTAGACGTTCTTATTTTGCACCAAAAGAAGGAGATGCAGCTTTTGAGCAACAAAGAACGGTCCTCTTGAAACTGGAGCAATTTCATCTCCGAGCAATGAAATCAACATTGACTGTTGATTCAACTTTTCTTAAGCAAATCCAGTCCAGTATGTCCTCAGACCCTCTTGTTTATGATATCGAGA